TATTGAGCTGGGGATTTAGCTCAGTGGTGCCATCACCTGCCTCGCAAGCGCAAGGTCCCGAGTTCGATCCCTGGTACCAAAAAAAAAAAAAACAAAGAAAGAAAGAAAGAAAGGAAGGAAGAAAAATAGACAAAATATCAGCAAAGATGAGCAGGGTTATCACATTCTAACTAGATACTGCTGCCTGCTGAGGACTATGGGCCTAGACTCATGCTCACTTTAATAAAGAAGGATGGGCTGGGGTCCAGCTCGGCGGCAGACAGCTCACCTAGCATGTGGGAGCCCCTGGGCTCCATCCCCAGCACCAGGGAGAGCTCGGAGAGAGGTACAAATGGGAGGATGTGCTGAAGATGGCAACACCCTGAGACTTTCTGAATTTGCTAATGAATAGGACTGTTGTAAGTGCTTCAGTGAACTACGTAGTAACTCTGTAAGGTAGGTACTATTGTTACCCCATTTTATACATGAGGAAACCACAGCTCAGAGAAGTGAAATTACTTCCCTGGGGTCACACAGCCAGTGGTCACAGCCTGGATTCAAGCCCAGGCTTTCCATCCCCAGTCATAACTGCCGAGCTGTACTTCATCAGAAGGACCCAGACAATTTGACAGTGAGCCTCTTTCTGATTATGTGATTCTGGGACCTGATGCTGTCATAGCTGTCATGATCTGAGCCATGGATGAAAGCAGGGCTGACTCCAGGGCACCTCCTGCACAGGTGAACTATAGGTCCCTTACAGCCAGCTTCCCCAGCCTGCCCCTGTCCTGCTGCTCTCTCACCTGCTGCTCCAGAAAGGCTGTGCTCCTCTACCTTGCTACTGTGTGTGGCTCCTGGCTGTATGGCTCTGAATCTCCAGCTAAGACTCACATGGTTTGCTTCTTAGACCAACTATCAGGGAAACTGGGACAGGAGCTATATCCTCTCCCTTCTTCAAATCCTCAGCTTTGTGCCAGACTCTGACCCCGTGCTGAGACCAGGAACCTGACTTCAACATTTTTTTATTTTGAGGCAGGTTTTCACTAAATTGCTCAGGCTGGGCTTCAACTTGCGATCCTCCTGCCTTAGCCTCCCGAGTGGCTGGGATTACAGGCATGTGCCACCATGTCTGACTTCTTTGTTGAGCCCAGCAGTGCTGGGTGGGGTCGGCCCTCATATCCTGTGTTCCTGTCTCCATGGGGATCATGTGCTGGCCCCTCAGAGCAGTGGACTGAGAGGCATCTTCATGTACTTCTGCCACGTGACTGGAGGTTATTGCTCTCTGACCAGGCCTGTAGGGACCCAGGGCCCAGCTGAACCCCATTTGATAGGGACCTTTCTTCATTCCCTCACCCCAGCTCTTTGCATTTCAGAAAACCCCTATGAGCCTTGGAGCTCATACCTGGCCACAGGAAAATGGACCAAAGCATTGCCAATGTCACCAGGAAAAAGGACAGCACCTCATGATTGTCCCCAGTCACTTTTCTCTAGGGAAAGCTTTTGTTCCCATTTCCTGAAAGTGAAATGTTCATCCTTCTGGAAACCACTAAATACATCTGAGGGCTCTTAACTTCTTTTCCTGGAGAAGCCAGGATCATGGCAGGAAGGAGGAGGCTGCAAGGAGTTAGGTGACTGAAGCTCCAGATCTCACTAGGGAGTTGCTCTGTGATCTTGAGCAAGTTGCTTAGCCTCCCTGGGCCTTGGCATCTCCCATGAAGCTCACCGTGTGGCTGTGGCACCCACCTATTTTCTGGGAGGCTGGCATTTCCACTGACTGCAGAGGGCCTGGTGAGCTGGGCCAGGTCCCACCTCTGCCCAAGATGCCCTGTGACCTCTGGGCCTGGCTTCCTGTCTGGAGAGTCTGCAGCCAGGCTGCAGGGGCCATGAGGAAGCAAGAGAATGACCTCAGCGCCTTCAGAGTGTTTGCACACCACAGAGCTGACAGAATCGTCATCTGCCGAACATCGAGAACTCTCAGCAGTCCACAGTGAAAGCACATCAGACAGTCAGAAGATGAGCAAAAGACAAAAGCAGACATTTCCCCAGAGGGTGGGCACAGATGGCAAATACGTGCATGGGCCAACGTCCTACCTCCTTATCCCTCAGGGAAGCACACCATGAGAATGATCAGTGTGGTTAAAATAAAAAAATAACACCACCCAACCCTGTGAGGTTATGGAAGAACTCGACCCTTGTCCAGTGCTGGGGTATGTGAAGTGGCCCAGCCACTCTGAAAAAGAATGTGGCAGTTTCTTAAAATGCTCTCCATGCAGCCCAGAAGTCTGCTGTGATGTGGCTTCTGTCTCATCTTTATTGATGGGGAAACTGAGGCCATGCTGCCTAGCTGTTGTTGCAGGGCACATGTGCCTGCTGAATCAGGCACCCAGCGGGCGGTTCTGGAATGTGGGGAAGCCGGATGACAAGCTCTACTGCTGAGCTGGCACCCTGGGGTGTCAGCTGTGTCCACACAGAGGAAGGTTGTCCCAAGAGTCATGCATGCATACAGGAGGTCACTCTTGTTGGAGCTGGGCTCAGTGCTCCATGACGTCTGCCCTCAGTGGAGAGGTAGGAAATGACCCTGGGTTGAGCCTCTGTCCTGTTCTGGGTACATACCACTGGTGCTGCAAGGGAGCATAGAGGGACACTGAGGCTCAGAGAGGTAGGCACCTTATATTGGGACTGGGGTACCTACTGTGTGCCAAGCCTTTAAGCCTTTCCATGGTAGGAAGCATTATTCAGTCTTCATGTTCACACATGAGATGTCATCAGAATGGCAGGACAGGGCTTGTTAAAACACAGAGGCAGAGGGCAGGGAATTTAGCTCAGCAGCACAGCGCCTGCCTGGCAAGTGGAAAGTCCTGATTTCAATCCCTGGTACCAAAACAAAACAACAACAACGAAAACCTCCACAGATGTAGAAACCACTCTTGGATTTCTGATTCCATTGGACTGGGAACCTGCATTTCTAAAAAGGCTCCTGGTATTGTTCTGGGACCACAATTTGAGAATAGTTTAGTTCAACCTCCTTTCTCCTGCATAAGGGTAGTCCTCAAGTTCCTTGCATATTTCTAGGGATGGAGAGCTCATTGCCTGTCCTATCAGCCAACTTCATTTCTAGGTCTTATCTTGACAGGAGTTGTGTGCACTTGTCTGGAGCAGGAACCTGACACTGCATGCTGTCCCTGTGGCCTCTGGCCTAATGGTCTCTTCAGAAAGGAGCTGTTGGAAGGGAGAGGAGGCACATGGTGAAACCGAGGGTCTCTGTCCCCCACAATCCATCGCCCATCAAGGCCTGTCCATTCTGCTCTCTGAATCAGCACTGTCCAACAGATACACATTCTGAGCTACCTAGAAAGTCTGCACCTACCAAAGATTTAAAAGTTGCCATATCTACAATGAAAACTGAAAATGTTAATAATACATGTTTCATTTAACCCATTATGTCCAAAATATTATATGTCATTTCTTGTTTTTTGGCCGTACCAGGACCTTTGCACTGAGCTACATCCCCAGGCCTTTTTATTTTTTATTTTGAGGTAGGGTCTCTCCAAGATGCCCAGGCTGGCCTTGAACTTAGGATCCTCCTGCTTCAGCCTCCTGTATGGTGGGGATTACAGACATGCACCATCAAAATATTATCATTTTAACGGATGATCAGTAGAAAATATTATTAATGATGTAAAATATACATATATGTATATGTATATATTTTCCACCCAAGCCTTCCTTTTTGTTTTTGAAACAGGGTCACACTATGTAGTTCAGGCTGGCCTTGAATTCCCTTAGTAGCCTACGCTGGTCTGGAACTCACAGTGATTCCCCTGCCTCAACTTCCCAAGTGCTGGGACTACAGGTGTGCACCACCACGCCCAGCTCCACCCGAGTCTTTGAAATCCAACATGTACCTCACGCTGATAACATATCTCAGGTCTGCATGGCCACAGATCAGGGGCCCCATGACCACACGTGGCTGGTGGCCACTTCCCCTGCCCCTGTCCCTAGTCCCCACCTCCCTGGCCATGGCCCCTGGCACACAGATGCCTGCCCCTCACCACGTCCTCACGAACCCTATATGAAATGTAGTGTTGGTTGCACGCATCCTGCTCATAGCCCTGTGGTCTGGCTCCTAAGTTCCCATCTATGCGGCTCGCCCTTCCCACTCTCCCTTGGAACTGTGGGTGATTTGCACACACTCAGCACAGTGGTACCTCCTGCCCTCAGAAGCCCCTTGGCCAACCTTTCAGTACACTCATTCAGCAGAATCCACTGAGTTCTTGTTGTGTGTTTGTCCTGTCCTAGATCCCAGACAATGGGACAAATAAGTACTGAGGAAACACACAGAATGATGTCAAATGGTGACAGTGGTGCAGGGCGAGAGGGAAGGGCACTGCTGGGGTCACTACTGTGTGGAGCCAGGGAAGGCCTCAGAAAAGATAATGTTCGAATAGAGACCAAGGAAGGGAAGCAGGGATGCATGGCTTTTTTGGGGGAGACTGGGAAGAGCCTGTGCAAAGGCCCTGGGGCCTGTGAGAGTATCTGGGACTCAGGCCAGTATAGCTGCAGCACAGTGGAAGAGGAGGCCCTAGGAGTCAAGGTCAGGAGTGGGAGAAATGTGGGGCAGATGGTGCAGGCCTGGCTAAGAACTTGGGCTCTACCTGAGAAAGCACAGAGGCAGGATAGGAGGGAGCACCCCAATGAGGGCAGCCTCAGGGTGAGAGCGGTTGTGGAGCAGGTAGAGGGAAGCGACCTGGCTCCCTCTGCCCTGGAGAAGGAACAGCAGTGCTCACTTACAGGATCCCGAAACCTCCTGAGTCCCCTGGTCTCCTCCTCCATGGGGCCCAACCTCAGCCTCAGGAGTGGGGAGTGACTGGTGAGGCCAGTTGGGACACATGACAGGGACCTGAGTCACCCCCAGTGGGATGGAGGGGCACCCGGGACAGGGCACTCCACCTCCTCCCTCCTGAGTTACCGCCCACCGGCCTCTCTCAGGGTGGGGGAAGAGTCCAGTCAGACAGGAAGGCCTGGGGCAGATAGCTCCACGGGCAGGCAGCAGGCAGGCAGGAATGCCCCCTGGGTGAGCCAGCGGCCAGGGCCACATCACTGCCCCGCCTCCTGCTGTCACAGGTGCCGCCTGCCTCCTTCCCTGCTGTCTGCTCCGGCCACACAGCTGGCTGCACACCTCGCTGCTCACCTTGCTCCTCACACAGGTAGTGGCTGTGGGCTGGGGCGGGGCAGTGGGGGGTATGGGGTGCGGGTCAGGTCCTCCCCGGCTGACCTGGCTGCTTCCCAAGGGTGGCTGGAGCCTCAGCAAGTCCTACACTTTCCTAGCGCTGAGAGCCTCCTCTCTCTCAGGAGAAATCAGGGAGGATGACAGGTGCTCAGTCCCGGGGTTGTTCTGAGACTGCCACCAGGTATGAGACCAGCTTGGTGCGGACTGTTCAGAAGCCCCTTGTCCTCCCTGGGGCTCGGCTTCCCCATTGGTGGATAATGGCTTTCTCACCCTGCTGCTGCCAGAAGGAACAGCACAGGAAGGCAAGGATTGTCCCCAAAGATCTCAGCCTCTGCTGCCCTGGCAGCCGCCCTCCCTCCTGGAGGAAACTGCCCTGGGTCTGGGCCTGATGGGCTTGGGGGGAACCAAGGGCTGAAGGTACCTGCAAGCAGAAAAAGCTGAAAAAAGCTGGGCCTTGGGGGAGGGCCCCTGCTGCCTTCAGAGCCTCCTACACAGGTGTTGTGGCCTAGGGAGGGGCAGCCTGGCTGACCCTCAGCCCTGGGGCCACCCCTATCCCGGGACATCAGTCCATATCCTGGGGCTGGTTTTGCCCCCAGCGTCCTGACTCTCAGGCCTCAAGCCAGCCAGCTTCCTTTTTATTTTTGACTGAACTGGGGATTGGGCCCAGGGCCTCTGCCCTGAACTACATCTCCAGCTCTTTGCAATTTTTTTTAGACAGGGTCTCACTAAGTTGCTCTGGCTGTGCTCAAACTTGTATCCTTCTGCCTCAGCCTCCCAAAGTGCTGGGATTACAGGTGAGCACCACCGCGCCTGGCTCAGCATTTGTCTCCTTTAAAGGGGGGATGAGAAGTTTCTTCTGTTTATTCAGAAACTGGCACACCCCTGTAATCCCAGCACTCTGGGAGGCAGAGGCAGGAGGACAGAAATTTCAAGCCTAGTCTGGGCAACTCAGCAAGACCCTGTCTCAAAATAAAAACTGAAAAAAGGGATGAGATATTGCTCAGCGCAGAGGGCCTGTGTCTCATCCCCAGTAATGAAATAAAAACAAAACTAAAAACCCAGAATTGTTTAGAGCTCTCTTTGGGAATCAGGAGTGTGTGTTGGGGGCATTATGGGAGGGAATCATGCCCTGGCTTGTTGTAGGTTCTAACCAAGCAGATATGTGAGTAACAACTCCCTCTGCACTCAGAAAGCCCTGGCTCTAACTCAGGCTGGTGCCTCTCTGGAAACACTGGGCTGCCTGTGCCAGAGATCCTCAGGAAGCCACAGTCGTGGGATCTGATGCACCACTGTGCCCAGGGGCCACGTCATGTGCTGTTCGTGTTCACAGCAGCCCTGTGTGTGAGGTCTTCATCTTTCTTCCTCCCCATAGAATGGCTTTGTTGAGATATGATTTGCATGCCATCAAATTCACCCTCTCACAATGTATGTTCAGTGGTTTTCAGTACATTCAGCCATCACCCTGGCCTAAGTAAAACATTTTTATCATCAGTGTAGTCACTTCCTCTGTCTTCTCCCTTGGCAGCAGCAGACAGCTTCACCTCCCAGGCTGGGGCTAGGCTTTTCTGCTGGCTTCTCTTTTGCATGGTACTGTCGAGGTTTGCCCTATTGTTGCAAGAGTCAGTACTTCCCCTGCGTGGCTGATAACACTGCATTATGCAGTTACATCACAGTTTGTTTACCCACTCAGCAGCTGGTGGCATTTGGGTTGTTTTTGCTTTTGACTGTTTTGATTAATGCTGCTATAAACTGGCATCCGTGTTCCAGTCTTCATGATGTTGTAGGTTTTTAGCTCTCTTGTGCTTACACCTAGAACTGGAACTTCAGGGTCATTTGGTATAGCTCTGTGTTTAACATTTTGAGGAGCTACCATTTTCCAATCCCACCAGCAAAGCCTAAAGTTTCTTGGGTCTCCCTACCAACGCTTGCTATTGTCTGAGTGCCTCAGAGTGACCATGCTGGTGGCTGTCAAGTGGCATCTCAGTGATAAATGACATGGTGCCTCTCATGATGCTGTTGATGCATCTGAACATCTGTTCAAGCCTTTGACCATTCTGAAATGGGTTATTCCTTGTGCACTGCGGAGGTGTACCTGTGTCTGTTTGCCCATGTGAGGATCCTGAGGCTGTGAGAGTGGATGTCACTTCCTGAGGCCAGTGAGGGGGACAGGCGGCCTGAACCCAGGTCAGCCTGGTGCTCACGCTGGACGCTTCCTTTCTGGTGTCTATTGTGGTCGTGTGCATGTGTGTATTGTGTATGAGTGTGCGTATGAGAGAGAGACAGAAACTGAGACGGATAGGTGGAAGAGACGGATTGAGATTGGAGAATAAGAGAGAAGAGATTGATGTGGCTCGGGTTATGGAGCACTGAACTAGTCACTCTATCAGGCTTGGACAATTAGAGCTAGAGAAAGCCTTCAATGACTATAAAAAATATTTTGGGGGGCTGGATATTTAGCTCAATGGTTCCGCTGCCTGCCTCACAAGTGCAAGGTCCTGAGTTGGATCCCAGGTACCAAAAAGCAAACAAACAAACAAAAATATCTTTTCCCTATTAACCTTCAAACTTATCAATGAGGCCTCAAAAAAAGTTTTGTTGGGGACCATGTCCTCCTAGTTTTCTTGGTTCCTAAACCTGGACAAATTATGATTTGACCTGAAAATCCAAAGCAGGTTTAAGATCCTGGCAAGGTGTAAGGATCTAGAGCAATTGTCATCCAACTTTGTGATCATCTTAGTCACTTTTTTGTCGTTGGGACAGAATACCCAACACTTGCCACTTAAGGGAGGAGAGGTTGATTTTGGCTCACATTTTTGAAGTTTCAGTCCTTGGGTGGTCAACTGGCTCTGGGTCTGGTGGAGGGAAGCTGCTCACCTCATGGCAACAAGGAAGCAGAGAGAGAAGGGAGGAGCCAGGGAGGAATCTAGACCCTTCTAGGCCATACCCCCAGGGACCACCTCCGGCCAGGCCTCACAACCCAACAACACATTTATCTATAAACTCATCAGTAGACCATGAGTATAGCATGCCCATGATCCAGTCACCTCCCAAAGGCCTCACCTATGAGCTCATGAGGCTTGGGGGACTTTTAGATCTAAACCCTAACAGCGATTGTGCAATCTTCTCAAGAAAGAAGCTGGGCTGTGGAAAGAAAGATGCTTTGGGCTTTGGGTACCTCCAACATGAACATGGATAAATTTATAAATCTCAAGTGGTCCCTGGCTTAATGACAATTCCATTTACAATTTTCCAACCTTATAATGCTGCAAAAGCAACATACATTCTGCAGAACTCATGTGTTGACTTTTGAGTCTGGGTCTTTTCCTGGGGTAGGGTATGCAGACCCATCCTCTCAGATGACTGATGCTGGGCAGGACAGGCAGCAGTGCCTAGTCAACCTGAGGTCACGAATCAGGGTGCCACTAGGGGTCACAGGACACATGACACAGCTCACTCTGCAGCATGCTGTGTTGCTGAGCTGCCATGCTGGCTATGTTAGGTGTTTTCAGTGCATTTGTGACTTAAGATGCCTTCAACTTACTAGCCCATTGCAAGTGGAGGAGCCTCTGTGTATACAAGAAGCTGGGCCACCAGCTCATGTCTCAAGGCCCAGTCGTCACCAAGCGAGGGTTTCATCACTGTGACATGCGTGGAAATCCACCTGTCGAGGTGTATCCTTATGATTACTCCAGTGAGCTGCTGTTTCATGGGAGAGATCACGTCCGATTGTGGTAATGGGGCTGACACAGGACTTAAACTAGGAGTGGGGCCGGCCTGTTCTTTCCTCTTCCTGTCGCTCATTTGCACACTCATGATTAGAGTTATCTTCTTTTGTGGCTTCTTTTCAGTGACTCTTTGAATTTACTTGTCCCACTAAGGGGACTGATTCAGTGAAAACTGTTGTTTGAGCCTCAGATCCCCCAGCCGGCCTCCTACTTACACCACAGTAGAGAGCAGTAGTTGACAGAGAAAAGGGCAACACACACTTGTCTGCCCTGTGGGCTCCATGCTGGGCTCCCAGGACCCTACTTGGGGGTGTGACGTATAGTGTATGACCTGCAGGATGAGGGACACAGCAGGGTTGAGCTCTATACTCTTTACTATTTGTAGTTTAAAGCATGTAAAAATAAATGTTCTCTCCTTTTCCTCCTTCACCTTGGTGATCATTGCCTGAGAGACCGATAGATTCTGAGCTCAGGTCACATGCCCTAGCCACGGCCACTCATGAGCTTGTTCCCCCCACCACATCATGCTCAGGACCACGCCAAGGCTGTTGCTTTTAGGAAATTATTTGTACACTGGGTGACTCTGCAAGGTCCTGACCCTCCCCTCTCAGGTCGGCAGGCCTGGGCTCTCTTCTGGCAGTGCCCATGAGGAGACTTGGGGACAGTCTCCATACCCTACATCCTCTGGATCCTGGTGGCAGTGAAGGATGGAGGGAAGGTCATCTTCATGGTGGACTCTGCTTCTGGGTGTCACACCTGAATGTGTCCCTTTTCACCTTGTTTTGATCTAGGTCCCCTCCTGGCCCCTCGGAGGTGGCACCAGGTCCTGGCTGCATCTTGGGCAATGGTGACCACAGGGTCTGCCTTGCTTGTCCTCAGCTGGCTGGGCAGTGTGAGCTGTTATCCACCCATTAAACTTCCTAGCTGACCTGGGACAAAACAAGGTGGAGAGTAGAAACTGGCATTTCACTTCTCTGCCTCTGTGTCACTGCAGTGAAATACCTGAGGTCATCAGGTACAAGGAGGAAAGGTTCATTGTGGCTCACAGCTTTGGAGGTTCTGGCCTATGATCAGAGGGTGCATTGCTCGGGATGGTGGGCAGGCAGCTCATCAAGACGAAAAACACCTGGCCTCATGGCCAGGAAGAAAGAGAAGGAAGAAGAGACCAGGGCCTCCACACCACTCAAAGCCATGCCCTCAGTGACCTCCTAGGCCCCGCCTCTTAAAGGTATCACCACCCAGTGGCACCACACTGAGGTACCAAGCCTCTAAGACATGGCCTTTAGGGACACTCAAGATCCAAACTACAGCAGGATCCTCTCACAAGGACTTTGTCCTCAGATCTGTGTTCTTCTCCATACTCCTCACTGTGTGTCCTTGGGCAAGTCCTCTTCCCTTTCTGGGCCTCAGGGGGTTTTTGTACGTTTTGTTTGGTTTGGTTTTTTGAGAAAGGATCTAGCCCCAGATGGCCTGGTGATCCTCCTGCCTCAGCCTACCCAGTGCTGGAATTACAGGTGTACTCACCACACCTCTGGCCTTGGTTGTGATCTTCTCTAACTTGGGGAAGGAGAGAAGCCCCAAATTTGAGGAGCAGGGGGATAATGAGAGCCTGTGGCAAGCAGGGAGGGTGGAGAGGAAGGAGAAGGGCATGAATGAGGAGCTGGAGATGGGAAGGGATGCGGAGGCTGCTGTGTCTCCACGCTCTCAAATGCAGAGTGCTGTATCTTCTTTTCATGAAGCTCCATCCCTACTCTGGGGACAAAGCCACAACTCCTGCCCCAGGGGCTCTGAGTCCTTGTTATCTGGGCTCTGAGAGCATTCCTGCAAGATAGTGTCACTTCCTGTCCCCATCTTGCAATTGGGGAAACAGATTTAGAGAGAAAATGGGTAGTTCCCACATCGCAGAGCTGGGTAGCGAGTACTGAATTGGGCTCTGCCCCTGCTGCCTGAGATTGTGTCCTGGCCATGGGGTGATGACCCACTGTGCTTTCCTACCCACAGCCCCATGGAAGCCCCAGAACCCTTGTGTAGCAACCCTGGTTTTTGTTTGTTATTGTCTTAGTTACTTTTCTTGTTGCTGATGTGCTCCCTTTGGCAGCACATATACTTTTCTTGTTGCTGAGGCAAAATACTCAACACTCAAAGTTAAGGAGGAGAGGTTCATTTCAGCTCACAGTTTGTAGAGGTTTCAGTCCATAATCGGCTGGCTCCAAGGCAGGGTGGCATGACAGAGGGGCAACACAGAGGAGAAACAGTACATGGCAGGCAGGCAGCCAGGAGACAGTGAAGCAGCAGCAGCAGCCTGCTTCCCTCTCTCCTTTTGTATTCCACCCAAGCTATAAACCTATTGATTGGTACCATCCATATCCAGGGTGGGGCTTCCATTATCCACAATAGAACTATGCTAATTCCAGTCAGTGGACTAATTTAGTACCACACACCCCTAATCCCAGCATCACATACCCTAGATCCAACCAGCTCTGAAAAGCCCCACCTATGAGCGTAGGAGGCTTTGGGGGGACATCTAGAGACAAGCCATAATAGTTGTGCTTTTTGTTTTCCTTAGGGTGCAGGGGATAGAACCTGGGACCTTACTGGTGCTAGGCAAGTGCTCATCACTGAGCTGCACCCCAGCCCTAATCCCTGTTTTATGCATTAAGAAGGGGCTGTCAAGGAGGGCAGTGAAAGGTCCAGGGGTCTCATGACAGTGACATAGGCATGAGAGTCCCTGAGGATACACAGCTGCACCTCAGGATCCTGCAGCTGGGAAAAGACCGTTCATGTCCATGCCAGGTCCCCCAAGTCTATGTGTGCTTCAGTGTCCTCCCCAGCTGTCCTGATGGAGAGAGGAAGGGATGAGGAACACTAGGGCCTGGAAGGCAGCACTGTTCAGAGTGGGGAGTGAGGGTTCCCAGACCTGGATGCCAGGAGAAGAAGCGGTCTCAGGAACATCAGGGACACTCACCTGATGGCATTTCCCATGGGTGTGCTGGACACTGTCAGCCATGTGTTGGGGGAGGACGAGATGGGATGGAGTGAGTCCTGTCCCTCCTGCAGGCCTTGTCAGAGCCTTGAACTGCTGTTTCTGTATAAGCACACTGCACACATTCCCAGACTGATTTAAACACCAGGTCCCTGATTAGGGAGCTTTTCAGGGGCCTGCTGATAGTGTCCCAAATAGGTCCTTGCTGCTCTGGGCCCTCTTACAATCATGTTACTCCTGAGTTGCAGAGTTCTTTGCTAAGTGGCAGATGAACCTCAAAGGTTTTGACTAGAAGGGAGGGTCAGGGTGTCAGGATATCCAGGCTGGAAGGACCCAGTTGTCTCTGCAGCTGGTCCAGGGAGTCCAACTGTGGGAGGCTGGATGCATGCCTGCTGTTTGGGACACAGCTGTCACCTTCAGGGAGGAGTGACTGGGGTCCGAGTGAACCACACTGGGCCTGTGGATGGAGCCCTTGCTGAGAAGCAGATTCCATACCCGACCAACTCTGCTCCCATGAGACTCTGTGGCTGCCTCACCCCCGCTGAAATCCAGCTCACCCCTGCTTGCCACCACCCCTCTTGACACTGCTGCCTGACATGCAGACCATAGAGGTGACTCTTGGCTAGTTCTCCTCCATGTCCAGGGCAATTAATTAATTCATTAATTTTTTGAGACAAATTTTCACTATGTAGCTTAGGCTGACCTTGAACTCAATATGGGTAGCCCAAGCTGGCCTAAACTCATGGTGATCCTCCTGCCTCGGCCTCCCATATGCTAGGATTATAGGCATGTGCCACCATGCTGGGCTTCTTTTTCTTATTTATTTGGCAAACTCTTTATATAGTAAGGATATTAACTGAAGTGAAATTAATTATTTGTTGTTATTCTTCCAGGGGGTGCCATGGAGACTCCAGGGACACCCTCCCAACCTCAAGATAGCAATCTCCTCCACAGAGAAGCAGAAGGCCCGCCCTGTATGTTTGCCAGCTCTGTTTCTGGACGGAGGCTCTGGGGGTGGGGCGGGGGATAATATGGGGCAGGAACCCTGCTGAGCTCACGGGGCTCCATGGGTAGTTGGGACTTTTCCCAGGTGCACCACGGGCTGCCCCTTGCTGAGAGGACCTCAGATACTCTCCACATCTCCCAGAACCATGAGGGCAGGGGTTGGGCGGCCCTGGGGAGGGTCCTCCAGAGATGGGCAGGGCCCTGGTGGCCCCAGGGCCGAGTGTGGAAAGGCTCTGGATCTGCTCTCAGCTGCCTATCTCGTACTCTCTGGACTGGGCAGGGAGCTTTGAAGCCCCTTCCTAGGCTCCTTGCTCAGAAGAGTCCAGCTGGAGACTTCCTAGAGAGCCCGGACCTCCTGCGCCTCCCATGGGCCCCCAGAGAGCCCTGGAGAACCGGTGTCCTGGGGGCATGGGTGGGGACACTCACCCCTTGCTGTGTGCCTCCCAGACGGAGAGATGGACCTCCGCCAGCAAGACGGGAAAGCTGGGCTGCTTTCCGGAGAGCAATATAAGAGAGACAAGTCCTCCTCCTCCTCCTCTTCTTCCTCAGGTATAGCACAGACGTTCAGGGCCAGGGTTAGCTTAGTGACAGAGCGCTTGCTGAGCGTGCACAAGGCCCTGGGCTCACTCTCCAAGCAACAACAACAAAAACTGATTTAAGATACAGTATACGTGCAAGTATGTGTGCGTATTTGTAGATCAAAATTGTTTTCAAGAAAAACACTCTATCCTCTGGGTGTGCTGGTACATGACTATCATCCCAGCACTAGAGAGGCTAAGACAGGAGGATTGCCTGAAGTTCAAGCCTGAGTTACATACTGAGTTTAAGGCCAGTCAAAACTACATAGTAAGGCCTCGACTCAAAAAGAAAAAAAAAAAGGAAAGCAAAAACAAAAAAACACCACTTAAGAGCACAATCCCTCACCCTTGAAGTAAGTGATGTACTTGATATATCAGGGTTGTTCTCTCTCTTCCCCTCCATGCCCAGCCACCTCTGTTTGTCCTTGGGCACAGCTGAGCTGTAATCAAGTAGACAACTCTGTTTGTTTTTGTTTTTTCTGAGACAGGGTCTCCCTATGTAGTTCAGGCTGCCCTTGAACTCATTATGTAGCCCAGGCTGGCCTTGAACTCACAGTGATCCTTCTGTCTCAGCTTTCTGAGTGCTAGGATGACAGGCATGCACTACCATGCCCGGCTGCAGCTATTTTTCATTTCCTGAACAAACCCTGGAGTGGCTTCGCCTCCAGTAGAGCACTGTGCAGGGCTCTCAGGGGTACTCAGGGGCTGAAGTCTCTGTCAAGGACTCATATCCTGTCTGTGCCCCTAAGCAGCTATGGGTCCTTGGGTAAAGGGCGAACCCTGTAGCCCCTGCACCCTGTGCCTAGCAGATGAGGATAGCAATAGCCAGTAACCCAGGGCTAAATGCTGAGGGCTAAATTCTTTAAACACAGAGGGGCTGGGGTGCAGCTCAGTGGTAGAGCACTTGCCTAGTATGCCTTGTTCCATTCTCAGCACTGAAAAGTCTTTTTTTCTCTTTCTTTTTACCTCACTCTGGGAATGGAACCCAGGGCCTTTTCACTGAGCTGCACCTCCAGCCCTTTTCTTTATTTTTTATTTTGAGACAAGGTCTCAGTAAGTCACTAAATAGCTGAGCTGGGATCAAATTTGAAATCCTCCTGGCTCAACCTCCCAGAGTGCTGGGATTGCAGGTGAGCACCACTGTGCCTAGCTAAGAAAAATCTTTTTATATATAAAAAGCCTCAGCACCTAACATTAGTAAAAGCTCTAAAAATAACTCATTGTTAAGCCCCGCCCCCCCTTCCTGGGTTTATTACGTTCATAGCATCTCCGAGCAAAGGTTTTACTGTGTGTGTCTGTTTGTTTTTTGTTTTGTTTTGTATAAATCACAACTTCAACATGGATCCTTCACAGCGATTCTGGAGGTTTACAGAAATAAATGGCATCTCTAGCAGGGTCTTGTTTACACATTACCACATTATCCTCTATGAAATAACAATCTTGTCTCACTTTCACTCTTCCAATTTGAAATACAAGGCTAAATTTATAGCAGCAGCAACAGGGTAGCATTTACTAGTGCTTACTGTGTGCCAGTTACCGTCCCTGCCCCTGACATGCAATGACTCAGTGCCATGATGCCGGTGAGGCCTCTGAGGCAGGAGAGGGGCCTGCTGCAAGAGCCCTCAGCAAGATTCCCTGGGGCACTTAGGGCTCAGACTCTTTCCCTCCACCCCAGCGCCTGCCCTGTGGTCTGTCACTGGTTCAGGTTTAAGATTTTTTTTCCTGGGGCAGCTGGGCATGGTGGTGTACACTTGTAATCCCAGCACTCAGGAGGTTGAGGCAGGAGGATGGCTGCAAGTTCGAGGACAGCCTGCACTACATAGTGAAACTGTCTCAAAACAACAAAAACAAATCAATGCTGTAAGTAATCCAGAGATGACTCAAGTATGTGAGTGCAATGCGCGTAGGTTCTGTGCAGAGAGTGCACCATTCTAAGGCAGGGAGCCTCCACAGCTTCTGCTCTCTGTGCCGCACCTTAGAACTAATCCCCCCACCCCCACCCCCACAGCCATAGGGTGGGGTTGTCATACGCTGCCTCTTGTGCTAGCGATACCTCTTTCTCTGTGTCCACTTAAGACCGTGGATGCACTGGTCTTTATGTGAAGTTGAGTTGGTTTCCTGGAGTTCTTCAGGGTACCCATGTTTTTCCAGAGGTCCCCAACCTGCCCAGGGACCCTGAGCTCCACTGAAGCCATCTTGGAACCCTGGGAAGAAGGGAGCTCTCTGGTCCTGGAGCCACAAACTCTGGGCCTGAATTATCCCAAACACTGGCTGTCTCCGAATGTAAGCGACTTGCATCCTTTGAGTCCCAATTGATTGACTGATCAAGTGCCTGCTCCAGGATGGCTGTCCTTGAGACGCAGGTGACCCAGCCATGACCTTAGGAGCTCAAGGCCCTGAGAGATCAGCATCACAGGACCACTGGAGCCTGGGTTTCCCTGGGTTCTGCACAGACAGAGCTAAGGGCAGGGGCAGTGGAGATGTGACAGTTCCGTAACCTCAGTAGGGAGACAGGGGAGGGCTGTCTGTGGGTGGGGTGGGGAACATGGCAAGCACCCAGAGGGCAGGATGTGGGTATAGAGAGGACACTGCCTGCACTTTGGGGAAAGAAACTGTCCCTGTCCCCGTCATCAGGCCTCAGGGGCCCTGGTCTGGTCCTCATGGACACTCCAGGTCATGGGCATGGCAGCAAAGGAAGCACACGTTGGACCAGGAGCCAACAGAACCAGCAAGTGACACAGAAGGTTAGAGGCAGGTCCCCAGGCCTGAGTACAGCACCTTCCTCCAGCAGCAAGTGGAGGCCCTCAGCTTGTGTTTGTCCCAGCAGACAGCAGCGATGAGGACCGGCACCCCAGAGTTCCTGGACAGCATGGACAGAGCCGGGGCACAGGACACCCCCACGGGGGCTGCCCATGCGGTAGGCAGAGGCTGTCCCAGGGGTCACAGTGGGGCTCCCAAGCTGAGTGAGAATGTCACTTGCCACAGTATTTAAAGTGGGCCATGATAGGAAGGGGCCTAGTGTCCAGTAGTAGCAAGATAGGTAAATGGCTCAGCACCTGTCCAGCCACACCTCTGCCCTTCATCTGCCTCTGAAGGGAAAAAGAAAAATGTTGCCGGGTGTTGTGGCCCACGCCTGTAATCCCAGTACTAAGGAGGCTGAGGCAAGAGGATCACCAGGAGTTTGAGGCCAGCCTGGGCTACATAGCGAGACCCTGTCTGAAAAGAAAAGAAAAAGATATCAAGTGATGGAGTTCATTTGATCTCATGTATACTTTGGAAAAATGCACACTTATATGGTTACAAACAACTGGAAGGAAAAATATCAAAACGTTGATAGTGGTTACCTGCATGGTGAAACTCTGAGAATTTTTATTTTCTCTCATTTTAAACTGTCCTATGAATAACTTATGATGAGTATGCTTTATTTTTACAACCAGAAGGAAATAATTTTTTTGCAAAAAGAGTAATTTTTTTCTTTTTTTGGTACCAGGGGTCGAACTCAGGTCCTTGCGCTTGCACAGCAGGCGACAAAACCACTGAGCTAAATCCCTGGCCCACAAAGAGAGTAATTTTTGAGTAGGAAAAAAGCACAGGAGAAAGAACTGAATTAATGCCAGCACCAAGCCTGGCGCACAGGAAAATTTCCTAGCTGATTCCAGGAGGCTGGAATAGATACAGGGCTCACCTGCTTGAGATGAAAATAAAAAACAAAAAGATTGGGGAGGCCAGGGTGCAGCTCAGTGATAGACGGTGTGCCTGGGAGCTGGAGGCCCTGGGTTCCATCCCAGCACTGCAAAAGGAAGAAAGGAAGAAAGGGAGGAAGAGGGGAAGGAGGGAAGAAAGGAAAGGAGAGGAAAGAAAAAGAAAAAGAAAGGAAGACAGAAAGATGATAGACAGACAGACAGATAGATAGATTAGAAATGCAGAAGGCTGGGGATTTAGCTCAGTGGTTCCACCACCTGCCTCGAAAGCACAAAGTCCCGACTTAGATTCTCGGTACCAAAAAAAAGAAATGCAGACCCAACAGAGTTGCTACTTACTGGTTATGTGAGTTTAGGAAAATAATTTAACTTTTTTCCTTCCTCCCTTCCTCCCTCTCTTCCTTCCTCCCTTCTATCCTTTTTCTGGTGCTGGAGATCAAGCCTAGGGCCTCATGCATGCTGGGGTAGTGCTATACCCTTGGGCTATACTCTGAGCTCTAATTTACCTTTTTGATCCTCAGTTTCTTATCAATCAGGTAGAGTTGTGTTAATATTTTCTTCATGTGAGACCCATGTGGATCATATGAAATAGTAAATATGAATTACTTATACACTATGACACATAGTAAGTGCTCAGTAAATAACAGTGGTTATTATTTACTGAGCATGGCCTGGGTCCTCTCACGCACCCCATTCTTTCTTCATCACCTGGGTGCTGTCCCCTCTGGAGGAGCCAAAAGGGGTGGGACAGTGAAAGGGAAGGCACTCGTCAGGTTGCCGAACCCCAGCAGACACAGGCCTGTGTTCCTCCTCGGTTTAGCCCCATGGAGCTGAACACAGAGGGGGAGCACATGGTGATGGGGAATTCACCTGAGGGTTTGTCTCCTCCAGGGGCTGAAGCTGAGCACGAGGCGCCTGGCATTTCAAAGGACGAACTCCAGCTCTACAGAGGTAATAGGTCATCTGGTGGCTGGGGAAGATGTAGGGCTGCAGGGCTGGTGGGGAGAAGCGAGCAGATGCAGAAGTCATGACTGGCAGAATAGTGGCAGATGGTGATGGCTGCAGGGCCTCCTCCTTGCTTCAGCTATAACTTCAACTTGTGGGGTGACCTGGATGGGTCACCCACTTTCTTGACCTCTGCATCTAGTCAGCAAAATGGGAGTGGTCAGGGCCCTTGCTTGGGATCCTGGGCTATTTAAGGATGTCAGGGCTGGGCTCTCCTTGAGCTCCCGGCCACTGCAGGGAGGAGGTATAGACAATATGGTACCTTGGCTGGGAGCACTACGAGGGAATAAACCAGTTTGGCAGAAGCCTGGCACAAGAAAACCAGCAGGAAACACTTAGGTACCTCTCAGAGAAAAAAGAGAAACATGCTTTGCCTCACGGTGAGACTTGAGGCTGCGTCTGGGAGCAGCACTGTGAACCATCTTTATGTTCTCATTTGCTTAGCTGAAGATGCTGCTTTTTTCTGCAGAAAGTGTTACCTGGTTCACACAGCCCAGGGTGGGCTGCAGTCATCCGGGAGCCATCCCAGCACCACCCCTGAAAACAAAGGAAATGTGTTTCATTTCTCAAATACTTTAAGAAAGGGTTCACTGGATGTAAAATAAGCAAAGCTGTTATGTTTATGTGTATTTTAAAATATTTTTCTCATAAAAGTAATTTATATTCGCTGTGGAAAATGTAGATACAGTTATCTACTTGGGTTTTGTTTTTTCAGTACTGGGGATTGAACCCAGGGCCTTCACACACAGCTACATCCCCAGCCCTTTCTGTTTATTTAGTTGTTATTTTGAGACAGAGCCTCCCTGACTCACTAAGTTGCCCAGGCTGGGCTGAAATTTGCTATCCTCCTGCCTTGGTCTCCCAGCCTGCTGGCATGTCACCTATTGTGAATTACGTGTTCTTCCCCAGGAAATCCGAGGGGCTCAGTCATTCCCTGACTTCTCTGCGCTCTCCATGCAGGGTCACTTTGCAAGCGGTGTCCCTATTTGGTGGCAGCCCTGGGGACAGCTCCCTCTTGTGGCACTTGTGACCTGGGGCCGCCCAGAAGGACACACAGGTGTGCACTGGAGCCCAATGAGCCTGAGGGGTGGAGGGGCTGACTGGGGGAAAGGTTAGGACTACAGGAGTGTGCCACCATTCAGGGCCACCAACCTTCTTTAGAATGGGGATGTTCAAGCCCAGTCTGTGACACATGCCTGTCATCCCAGTGCTTGGGAGGCTGAGGCACGAGGGCTGCCACAAATTTGAGGCCAGCCTGGCTTACATAGTGAGTTCAAGGCCAGCCTGAACCACATAGCGAGACTCTGCCTCAAAAAACCCCCAAACTAAAATAAACAAATAAATAAATAAAATGGGAAGTTTATGGTAAACCTGGCCTCTTCTGAAAAGTGGAAGACCTGTACAACTCAGCAGATGACCTTGCAGCAGCTTTGGGTAGCTGGCAGATGGGTGGCTGCCCTTTTAGATGAAGTAGGAGCCCTTGCCCTCTCCCATCCCCACCTGGCCTCGCTAGACCAGGTGCAAGTCCCTGGGCAGGGTCCATGTCCACCCCATGCCTCCTGCCTGAGGATGTGCCTGTGTGACTGCTGGTTTCCTTCTCTGCAGATGGCCCTGGAGAGGTGGAGCCGTCTGGGGAAGCAAGTAAGTGACCAGGCAGGGGCCAGGAGTCATTGGTACCGGTGACCCACCAGCCATTCCTGGCAGAGGTGCCACTATGATGGCAAACTCCAGGGACACAGGCAAACAGGCCAGGCTGTGGCAGGAGATGGGCAGTGGGAGGGTAGGGGATGCCACTGGCCACAGCAGATTGTCCCTGGGATGTTTACCTAGGTCACTTGTGGCCTCCACTAGGGCAGAGGGACGGTCCAGGACCCCACACTGACCGGGCACTGACACTGAGTTTCTGTTTGCAGGACTCCGACAGAGAGGCGTGGACTCCACAGAAGGTAGAGGTGTCTGGGGAGAGCAGGGAGTGCCTGGGTCCTGGGGGTGTAGGGGACAACAGGGCCTGAGAGGGTGGGTCCATCCCAGCAGGGATGCCCAGCCAGCCAGTGTCACCTTGATGGGACAGGACAGAGAAGGCTTAGCAGGCTCCGAGAACAGCGGCCATGCAGTGAGTGTCCCAATCTCCAAAGCCTCCCCAAGCTCAGGCCTCCATGGGGCAGGGACAAGAAACTCCCACCTGCTGTCCCGTTTTTGTTCTGTTTTTTTGAGATAGACTGGCCTTGAACTCACTGTGCAGCCCAGGCTGGCCTCACTCACAGTGATCCTCCTGCCTCAGCTTCCCGAGTGCTGGGATTATAAGCAGGCACCACTGCACCTGGCAAATTGTTTTTTATTTGTTTCTGTTTGTTGCCTGTATCTGTGTCCAAGTGAAATTCTGTCTCTCACTTGTTCCCAGGAGATGCAGAAGACTCACAGTTAAGCAGACTGAATATAAAGAAGGATGGTAAGAAACTGGCATCCAGAGCCACATCGTCTGTCTGTCCACACGGCTGGGGTTGAGGCAGCGGGGGCCTAAAATAATCATCACAGCTGCTCTGCTCTGAACCTGTGGGAAGGTGGGGTGGCAATGCCCACTTTCAGATGTGGAAACTGAGAGTTGAGGTGCCAGGGCAGCCTCACTGCTATGGAGCAGCAGGCACAGACTGGCCTCCAACCCTGGTCTGGGGCTCTTTCTGCACTGTGGGAAGTCACTGGAGTGATAAGTGCCTTCGGCCAGGATAGGAGCTGGACCTGGGAAGGGGGAGGGAGCCGCAAGGGGGTCAGGACCAGGCTCTGGGTAGAAGGGCTCAGGATGGGAGCCCGTGGTGGGGGAGAGTGGGGAGGGGACCATGGTGGGCTTGGACTTGTTTGTGTGAGGGGTGTTGGGGACGAGTCCAGGGCCTCCTGCATGCCAGATGAGTGCTCCCCACGGAGCTGCACCCTGGCCAAGACCACGGCTCGGTTGGGAGACACCTGTCACTCACAGAGCACTGTGCTGTTCAGGCTCCAGTGGCCTTCGAGGCCCTGTGTGAGGACACTGAGGCTCAGAAAGGTAGGGAGTGGTTGGAGGCCTCACAGCACAGGGGTAGCTGTGCTGGGCATCCCTGCAGCCTCCGCACCCACTTCCGCCTCTGCCTTTTTCCATATACCTTTCTCCAGATTGTCCTTGCTTTTTCCTTTCTGTTCTTTTTTTTTTTTTTTGTCGTCTCTCTGTTTCTGCTGGTTTTTGTTGTGCATGCTAGGCAAGTGTTCCCCCATTGAGCTACACCCCCAACCCTTTTTTTCTTTGAAAAAATCTTTGTCCTGGGTATGGTGGCTCTGCCCAAAATCCCAGCACTCTGGGGGGCTGAGGCAGGAGGATCAAAAGTTCAAGCCCATGGTACAAGCACCCAATGATAAATGTAAATGTATTGTTTACCTAAAATGTACCAATAAAAGAATTTAAGGGAAAAAAAAATAGTTCGAGCCCAGCTTGGGCAGCTCAGAGACTTAGCAAGATGCTGTCTCAAAATAAAAACTAAACAGGGCTGGGGATGGAGCTCAGTGTGAGGGCACTGGGTTCAATCCCCAGTACCACCAAATAAATACACAAAGCTTCTGAAACTCCCCTGTCAAGGCCTGGAGAAAGCAGGAGAGTCGTGCTCCCTCCCTGGTGGCCCCCATGAGTCTGGCAAAGTACAAGGGCTTCTGCTCTGTCACAGGCACCCTGGGGTCCTGTGTGGGGCATAGGCCTGCCCTCTCAGCACCCCCACACCCCTGGGACCCTAGAGATATCCCCCTGGCCAACCTGCATTTTTTGTTTTGTTTTGTTTTTTAGAGTAGGAAAAATTTATTGGGAGAAAGAAAGCTTCTGCCTAAGAGAGACAGAAGGGGGACCAGAAAGTGGGTTGCCTGCTCACCCCACTTTTCAAAGATGTTTTATACAGCAAAGCATGTGGTGTGGCAGCTACAAAGTGGGACAGAACTATAAGACCCACTGGAAATTTACAAGGTGGGCAGGCCAGGGATTTAGCTCAGTGGTACCGGTGCTGCCGGGCGCAAGTGCAAGGTCCAGAGTTCGATTCCTGGTACCAAAAAAAAAAAAAAAAAAGAACAACTACAAGGTGGGCATGAGGTGGGACAAAACCATGACCAACCAATAAGATTACAAGTACAGTCACCCAGGTAATACTGATTAAATGGGGGTCAAATTGGGGAGCAAGTCACATAGCAAGCGTACAAGGATTTTCAGTAAGGGTGGGGGTCAGGGATATTTCCTGGAGAGGCTGGGTTAAGACCTTGGCCCCCCACCCAGGTGATTGATATCTGTTTAGAATATCAATCACTGCTATTCATCCTACATGGGTGTGGCAGTTTCTTGTGTACAATTTTGGCCTTCAGTGAATGTGTCTTCACTGTCCTCCATGTTGGCTCCTCCTGGGCTGGTCCTAACTGGCTACAAGATATCTAATTAACTTATCTATCTGGAGTATTCCCTCCTCTGAAGAAGTACCCCTAACTGCTGTGAGGGGGCAAAGGGGGAAGACCATTCTGGCTACTTCCAGCTGAAGAGGGTCATGGTTGTGATCAGCAGTTAGAGTTACTCTACAGAGGGTCTATCTAAAGGCCTTTGATAGGCACCCAACCTGCATTTCTTATTATTGTTCTAACGTTCATTCAACAAAAAAAGTACAGAACATTTATGCCTGCCAGGGCTTCCTTCAGACCTGGAGAACATTGGAGGATGTTGAAGTAGCCTGACTAAGCTCCTGTCCACCAGAGCTGACCAGAGCAGGGTAGGGAGGAGGGGAGATGAGAACACAGGAAGATGACATAAGTCGGATGGCAATGTGTGCAATAAAAATAACACGGGGAGATAAGGGGCAGAAAGGCACGGTCTTGGGGCTGGTTTATTTATTTATTTGGTTGTTTGAGACAGGGTCTCACTATGTAGTCCAGGGTGGTCTTGAACTCACTGTGTAGCCCAAGCTGGCTTCCAACTCATGGTAATCCTCCTGCCTCAGCCTCCAGAGTGCTGGGATGACAAGTGTGCCCACAACACCAGCCATGTTTTAATCTGGCTGGTCTGACACTGCAGGAGCAGTGTCTCTTTATGTTTCCATTTGAGCAGAGGCTTTGTCATAGAAGAACAGGAGAGCTGCCCATAGTCCCAGCTGGTAGGGAGGCTGAGGCAGCAGGATCCATTGAGCCCAGGACTTTGAGGCCACCTTGGCAATATAGCAAGACTTTGTCTCAAAACAACACACAAACAAGAGAGTTCTGGGGTGCGGCTGAGTGGTAGAGCGCTTGGCCAGCGTGTGAGAGGCCTTGAGGTACAGCCCCCGGGCGCACACACACAAGGTACACATGACAGACAGGAAGAGAAGGGGCCAACAGTAATGGTGCCGCCTCCGCCTTGGCAGACGAGTTCTTCCACTTCGTGCTGCTGTGCTTCGGCATCGGGGCCCTGCTGGTGAGCTACCACTACTACGGAGGTGAGCGGGGGCGGGGCGGGGGAGGGCTCCGGCCTCAGGTCGAATCCCGCCTCGCTGCCTGCAGACTGGTTCATGTCCCTGGGCGTCGGCCTGCTCACCTTCGCCTCGCTGGAGACTGTGGGGATCTACTTCGGGCTGGGTGAGTCTCAGCTGGCCCGCGAAGCACCTGTTTTACTTTTCTTGTGCCCTTATTTTCTTCCTGACCACTCGCAAGGTCAGGGTGAGGTCACTGGCAGAATCTCGCGGGGGCGGGGGGGGGAATGGACCATTCTCTAAAAATTCAGTGGCAACAGTTTAACGTGAACAACACGGAACCAGCAGGTGCCCAGAAAGGACGAGTGGAGCTGCAGCTGAGTCCGCTGGGCTTGGGCCTCTGGTGTTTGCGTAGTCGTAACATCTGCTCTGTCACCTGAGCACAGCCCGGAGCCCCACCGTGGAGCTGTGTTGTATGGGCTGGGCCCTTGCCTGGGGTGGCCGCGGGTAGAGGGGACACAGCCTGACCCGGAGCCCTTTGTCCTCGCACAGTGTACCGCATCCACAGTGTGCTGCGTGGCTTCCTCCCGCTCTTCCAGAAGTTCAGGCAACTGGGTAAGGTTCATGTTCACCATCTTCTTGGGCTGTCGCTGCCTAGGACGGATTTGGGGGATGGGGGCTGAAACGGTCTCAGTATGTTGCTCAGGCTGGTGTCAGACTCCCAATCCTCAACCTCCTGAGTGCTGGGATTACAGACATGTGGCACCATGCCCGGAGGGGTTTCTGTTTCGGTTTGTTTGTTTGGTGTTTTTATTGGTACCAGGGATTGAACTCGGGTCCTTGCGCCTGCAAGGCAGGTGGCAGAACCATTGAGCTAAATCCCTGGCCCTGGTTTGTTTTGTTTTTTGGGATGAGGTGTCGATATGTGTAGCCTGGGCTGGCCTTCAACTAGTGGCAATTCTCTTGCCTCAACCTCTTGAGTGCTGGGATTATAGGCATGTGTTCGGTCCCCCAGCACAGCTTCTGTTTTAGTTTTTTTGAGACAGGGTCTCACGACACAGTCCAGGCTGGCCTTGAACTCACTATGTAGCCCAGGCTGGCCTTGAACTCATGGCAATCTCCTTCCTCAGCCTCCCAAGTGCTGGGATGACAGGTGTGTACCACCATGCCTGGCTTCCAGCTTCTGTTCTGAAAGAGGTTTAACATGTAGGAAAGATTTTAGAGGCAGGCAGGGACTTGCTTGGGTTTGGACTCTATATCTGCTAGCTTATGAGCTTTGTGAGCTATGTGACTCTGGAAGGGCTCGTGCACGTCTTTGTTTTTTTGTTTTGTTTTTGCAGTGCTGGGTGGGAACTGAGCCCTCTCATAGTCTCTCTGAGCCTCCTCAGTTTTGTCCCTGGATAACAGGTGTAGTAATTCCCAGTGCACAGAGTATATGCCGGCCATCTGAGGATGGGACAAGAGGGAGGCCTTGCATTCAAAATGCTGTGGAAAGCGAGGGGCGAGGGGCTCAGTACCTCATGGGACGCTCCCTTCCCAAGCGTAGTCTCCTCTAGGAAAGGGTTTGCCTGAAGGCTCAGGGAGGTGGCCTTAGCAATCCTGTTTCCCTGGTGAGAACACCAAAACTCAGAGAGCTGCAGAAACTTGCCTGGGTTACACAGCTAGATGGGGCAGCCTGGGCTGAAGTAGATTCTCTTTCAGCTGGGTGCGTTGCACATACCTGAGATCCCAGGTACTCTGGGTCAGAGGATCACAAGTTCAAGACCAGCCTGGGCACCTTAGTGAGACATTGTCTCAAAATAGAAAGAGAAAAAGGTTGTAGATGTGGCTGAGTGATAGAACATTTGCCCAGCATGCAGTTTAAGTCTTAGTACTGGAAAAAAAAGAAAAAAGAAGTAGCTTCTCCTTGCTGAGCAGCAGCTCTGTGTTCACCCTTATGCCTCAGACCAGAGAAGCCAGGGGGCTGTGTCTCTGTGCTGGGGAAGCATCTCTCTCCTTTAATCAAAGAAGGGGACATGCGTCACTGTGGCCGTGGGTTGTGAAGACCCATGGTGGCTGCAGGAAAGAGCCTCCTCAGCCCAGTCTGTGGGGTCTGGGCATCTGGAGTGGTGGTGGGGACGTCCTGGCTGCCTTCAAACCAGGCAACCTGAACTTCGCCTTCCAGGGTTCCGGAAGACGGAATGAGTCCTCTGCTGGGTGGCAGCTGCACAGCCCTGGTTTGACCACAAACCTCCTGAGGCCATGAGGACAGTGACATTTGGGTGACACGTGGGAGACTGAGCCAAGCAATAAAGAGCACTTTTCCCTCCATGTGGTGTGGCCATTGGCAGAGGCTGGGCAGGGGTCCCATCTAGCAGCACAGGATTGAGGGTCTGCTGCCAGGATGGAGGTGAGCAGGGCTGGCCCTGCACACCCAGAGCAGCAGGAAGAGCCCCGGCTGCCGCCATTGCCAGGGCCTGCAACTGTGATCTCTCTGGACTCCTGGCTTCTTCCAAGTCCTCAGCCATGCTGGGAGCTCTCAGCTCCTACAGAGCCACACTGTGACAGACAGACCACTGCCCTGATGCTGGAACCACGTGCTGTGTCCCCACAGTGAACCTGACACAGGTAAGATGTTGGACACTAAAGCCACAGCATTTGGGCCTCTTCCTGCAACTCTATAGCCTGGGACTTGATCAAGATGCAAATAAACATTCTCTCTCCATTTCTAAAGAGTCAACTACACATTCCTTTAGGTTCCTTGAACGTGAAGACACAGTTGGGGTCTCCCTTGAACCATCAGTTAAGGTGGGCACTTTTGCTACTGGATAAAGTGTAAGAAGGGATAAAGACTTAGTGCCCCACTTTAGGTCCAACACTTCACTCACATAGGGGTGGGATAGGAGAAAGAGATTTGTGAACATTCTTGTGAAACAGATCTGGGATGTTAGTAGTCTCAGTTCACCAAGCATCAAAGGATCAGGATATGTGTGTGAGCCAGCTTTCGGTTGCTGGGACAAAATACCTGACATACATGACTTAAACGGGGGAAAGTTTGTTTGGGCTCACAGTTTCAGAAGGGTCAGTCCAATGGCAAGCTGGCTGCAAGGCAGGAATAGCATGGTGGAAAGGCAGGTGGAGGAAATCTGCTCACCTCATGGCAGCCAGGAAGCAGATATAGGGAATGAGCCAGAGAAAAGATAAATCTTTCAGTCATGTGACCTGCTTCCTCCAGCTGGGCCCACCTCCTATTAGCCTGTTCAGGTATGGACTCCCCAATGGATCGATCCCTTGATGAGATTAGAGTCTTCCTGGGGTTGTTCATTCTGATTTGACTAGAGTAAGAAATTCATAGCAGATTAGTATAGTTCTGAAGCCAGGCGTGGTGGCCCATGCCTGTAATCCCAGCACTCTCGAGGCTGAGGCAGGAGGATTGCTGTGAGTTAGAGGCCAGTCTGGAGTACATCGTGAGTTCAAGGTCAGTCTAAACTACATAGTGAGACCCTGTCACAAGAAATAAAAAATTAATGAAAAGTGTGGCTCTGGGTATATCTGTGTCTCCAGAGATGATTGATACACAGGCCAGCAAACTGAGGGGGAAGACCCACCCCAGCTATGGGTGGTGCCAACCAATAGTCTTGTAGTTTACATGAAATAAAAGGGAAGAAGGAGGAAGTTTGCATTGTGAAGAGCTCCAGCCTGCTTGAGTGATGTGCTTTCTGCTGCTGTTGCCTTTGGCCCTCAAAGTCCAGTTTCTCTAGCCTCCAATGCAGACTCACACCTGAGACCCTCCTGGGAGTTTCCAGGCTTTTACCCTTGGACAAGTGCTGCATCCTTGACAAGAACAAGAGTGTTTTACAGTTGCCAGCTTCTTGTCCTGAGCAACTGCTATTCTCCAGTGTACAGATGGCCATTGTGGATTGTCGTACTTCTGATCCTGTAAGCTACCTAATAAATTCCTTTGCATAATTATACATATATTTTCTATTGATTCTATTCTTCTAGAGAACTCTGACTAGCACACTTTATCCAATCACCTTTCAGAAGCCCTACCTCTAACCACATGAGACTTTGGGGGGGACATTTTATATCTAATGCATAACATAAGGGCACAAGACCAAATCCATTACCTATTTGGGTTCCATTAATGGAGGTATAGAGTCTGGAGTGGAGGGGGTAGTAATAGATCCTACTTTACACTGGCCAGGTCATGCCAAGAGCATGTGTTCAGGGCTGGGGATTTAGCTCAGTGGTTCCACCTCCTGCCTCACAAGCACAAGGTCCTGAGTTCAATCCCTGGTACCAAAACAAAAACAAAAGAAAAAAAACCAAGAGCATGTGTTCAGTTCTAGACTTACACATCAAGGGCAACAGTGACAAACTAGGGAACATAAAGAAAGGGGACCAGAGTGGGAATATAAAGAATGATTGAAGCAATGAGAACTCTTGAACTTGTGGGAAAGTCGGGGTTTCCACTGAGTTCACAGACTTTGTGAGGCACTTTTTCCAGCGCCCGTGGTGGTCTGTACAGCCAAAGAGATCACTCAGGTTCATTCTCACGCAGCCCTGAGATGGATGAATTCCCTCACTTTGCAGATGGAGAAATAGAGGCCCAAAGAGTTCAGTAACCCACCCGAGTCCATTGGGCAGGGCACTGGGAAGCGGGTAGTGGGGACGGAACCCAGGCCTTCATACTGAGTTACACTCCTGGCCCTTTCTAAACTATCTCTCTTTTTTTGTTTAGACAAAGTCTCACTAAGTCACCCAGGCTAGGGTCAAGCTTGCAACCCTCCTGCGTCAGCCTCTGAGAGTGCTATGATGGCAGCCATGGCCACCACATGTGGCTGAAAATGAACTGTGGGTGGTCAAGGCCAAGCATCCTCAACCCCTGCTCTCAGGATGGCCCTGGGGTCATCAGACTCAGGAATTGTGCAAGGGGACCCTAGGAGCTGGCCCTGGCTGGGCCGGCGAGGGGCTGGAGGAGTCTGGTCCTGTGAACATAGGACCAGCGATGTCAGACCTTTCCTGTCAACAGAAACCCCAAACCCAGAGGTTTAAAAATGTTGGCAATTTTTTTTTTTAATTTCCAATTCTAAGGAAAACAGTATGGTGCTTCCTCAAATATTAAAACTGGAATTGCTGTATGATCCAGCAATTGCACTTCTAGGGCTGCACTCCTGGGACTTTAAGAGATACTTGGACACCTATGTTCACACCGGAGTCATTCATTAGAGCCAAAAGGCAGAAAGAGCCAAGCATGGTGGCATATGCCTGTCATCCCAGCACTCAGGAGGCTAAGGCAGGAAGATCACTGCAAGTTTGAGGCTAGCCTGGGCTAGTGAAACAAGCCAGCCACATAGGCAAATACTGGGTGATTCTGCTCATCCACGTTCTGGAGATGGGCAGTGGGGATGGCTGTATAGCTGTGTGGATGGATGTGCTCAATGCCACTGAGCTGGGTGTTCACACACAGGTGGAAATTCTACAGTCTGTGTAATTTACTCTGATTGTTATGTGGTTTTATTTAATGATTGATGCTGGGGATGGAACCCAGGGCCTCACACATGCTAGACAAGTGCTGTACTGCTTTGTTTTGGTTTTTGTTTCGTTTTGGAGATAGGGTCTCCTTGTGTAGTTCAAACTGGCTTTGAACTCACTATGTATCCCAGGCTGGCCTCAAACTCATAGCAGTCCTCCTACCTCAGCCTCCCTGGTGCTGGAATTACAGGCATGTGCCACCATGCCTGGCTCCTGATTTGGGGGGGGGGGGGTACTGGGGATCAAACTCAGGATCTTGTGCTTGTGAGGCAGGCGGCAGAACCACTGAGCTAAATTCCTGGCTGGCTCCTAACTTTTTAAAATCTCTAGTTTTTAGCAGCGAGTAGGCCTGGATGTGGCCCACTGCTCTCTGCACCCTCAGGCTTCTCAGTGTGTGGCTGGGGACACCTCAGCTGGCACACCCCAGGGACAGGAAGAACAGGGACATAGAACAGCCTCAGTTCTGCTGGTGACCTGGGTGTCCATGGAGGGGCTCAGGTGGCCTGGCTGCTGCCCTCCCCCAGCCCACCCCCTGTGCCTGGGAGGACCTGAGCCTGACCCTGCTGACCTTGGCCTACCCTGGCTACTGTCCTGAGGCAGCTCAGGGCCACCCCAGCCAGGGCTCTGGCTACATCTCGGGCTCCAGCAGATCCCAGGAGGTCCTGTCTAGGGCGTCTAAAAATAAAGCCGTGGACCCAGCCAAGAAAGCAGGCTGAAAGGGGGGCTTGCAGGGTGGATCCCATCCCCACTATCTCTGCTGTGCTGGATCCATGAGTGGGACAGGAGGGGCTATGGTCTGTCTCAGTGCTCTGTGCTTGGTGCTTGGTGCTCTGTGCACCGTGAGGGCAGTGGTCTCTTGTCCCCACCTCCAGCACTTTCTGTCTCTGGGCCTGATGACTGGCTCTGGGCACTCCTTGACCCTGGGAAAAGCACACCAGGCTTCCAGTAAGTGTTGACCCATCTCTGTGGCCTCAGAAGTCAGGGCAGGCAGAGCCTGGCCTGTAGCACAGTCTCAATAAAAGTCTGATGTATGATTAAATGACTGTTGGAAAAAGTGGTACAGCTGCTGCAGGTAGGGGGAACTGCTTAAAATCTGACCACTATTTTTTTCTCCGAAAGAAGAAAGTTGTGGTAGTGAAATTCAAGTGTATGGGCTTAGCTGGGCATGGTGGTGCATGCCTGTCATCCTAGCATTCTGGGAGGCTGAGGCAGGAGGATCGCAAGTTCAAGGCTAGCTTGGGCTATTTAGAACTCAGGGAGACTTGTCTCAAAATAAAACATTTTTTTAAAAAGGCTTGGAATGTAGTTCAGTGTGGAGGCCCTGGGTTCAATCCCCATACTGCCAAAAGTTAATAGTAATAAACAGGGGCTGGGGATTTAGCTCAGTGGTTCCAGCGCCTGCCTCGCAAGTGCAAGGTCCCGAGTTCAATCTCTGGTACCAAAAAACAAAATAGTAATAAATAAAAAAGTATGTGCTTCAGGCCACCAAATAAAGGGGATCTTTACAAGGCTCCCCCGGGACATCGTCCTCAGACCCCACACTCAGGGTCCCGTACTCTGCATCCTTAGCTCCTGCTGTCTCACTGCCTCCAGCCTGGATTCCACCTGCAGCACCCTGACACTGTGCTTCAGTGTTGAAACCATCAGGGTGGCCTGGAGGAGGGACAGGGACTACAGGCCCTCCAGCCTGAAAGAGGAGAGAAGCTGTGAGACCACTGTTGACACCAGACCCTGGGGACTGTGGTCCCACAGACAGGGCACCGGGCTGTGAGTCTGTAGTGAGCCCAGTGCTG